TTTGTAGAAAACGAAGCGTTTGAGAGAGGCGGGGCATAGAGGACCTACAATAATGTACAGTATTTGAAAAATAATGTGTTTTTTGAACATTAAAGCATGTCAACATATTCTGTTACACCAAATACACAAAATAATGATCTTTACAATAGCATGATTATGACCCCTTTAACTTTTGTCATTAAAACGGATTACCGTTTTGATCATGTTTTACATGAGTTAAGTATACAGTACATTATGATATGCTAGCTAGTTTATTGCTGATGGTATTAAATTGATCAAAAAAATAAAAAAAAAATAAAAAATCGGTGATATATCGGTAATATTAGTCATATTACCAGGGAGTCAAATAGACTCAAATGCGCTCTAGTAACCTACATGACCGTGTTGATTCCCGAGAGCTGCTGGAACATCTGTAGGCCACAACCCACGATCAGAGCACGCCGTGCTGGAGCGAACGTCAGGATACGCCACAACACTGGACCCTCTAGCAGATAATCAATCAATCAGTGAAAATTATATCATAATTTTATACAATTACCATAGAGTTTACACAGTTTAATTTCTAGTCATTTATGATTACTTTATTAGGTTTTATAAAAATAATTTTGATTCTGGTTCATCAATGACACATTTCCTTGCTGAAGGACAATAAAGAACAATAAGTTTGTTGTTATTTCAAGGTTGAATCACTTTACTGTATTTCTCATTTCTACGTTGCTTGGAGAACCCTCTGCTAAATGAATATAAATGTAAACGATTCACTCAAAAAAAGCTAAAATCTGTTATCATTATGGCCTAGAACAGTGGTTCCCAACCCTGGTCCTGGAGGCACCCCAACACTGCACATTTTGCATGTCTCCTTTCTCTGTCACACCAGTTTTAGGTTTTGAAGTCTCTACTAATGAGCTAATGACCTGAATCAGGTGTGTTTGATTAAGGAGATATGCAAAACGTGCAGTGTTGGGGTGCCTCCAGGACCAGGGTTGGGAACCACTGGCCTAGAAAACGCAATTTCAAATATTTCCAGGTTTCTGGATGATCTCACCTCCAGCATCAATCTTCTCCTCCTCAATGCTGCTCCGTATGCTCTCATACTCTTCATCCACATTTACACCGCCACGGATCCGACTGAGCACCAGCCGAGCATTCTGGGTATCTCCTTTCTGCAGGAGCCAGCGAGGACTCTCCGGGAGGAAGAGGAACCCCAGGAACTGCAGCGCAGCAGGAACAACTGACAAACCCAACATATACCTATACACGAACACAAAAATGATTCAAAAACCAGGTTATGAAAAACTTTTATATCTAATTTTTTATCTCACATTCAAATTCTCTACTTTTCCTGCAGAATGTCTGAATATGATTATTTTTTTATAATATGTGACCCTGGAGCACAAAACCTTAAATCTTAAGTAGCACGGTTCTATTTGTTGCAAAAGCCAAAAATACACTAAAATTAACGATTTTTCTTTTATGCCAAAAAATCATTAGGATATTAAAGATCATGCTCCTTGAAGATATTTGTAAATTTCCTACCATAAATATATCAAAACTTAATTTTTGATTAGTAATATGCATTGCTAAGAACTTCATTTGGACAACTTTAAAGATGATTTTCTCAATATTTAGATTTTTTTGTTGCACCCACAGATTCCAGATTTTCAAACAGTTGTATCTCGGCCAAATATTGTCCTATTTTTATATCTCTTTCCTTGTTTTCAGATGATGTATAAATCAAAATTTTCAAAAAAACTGACCCTTATGAGGTCCAGTGTCACATATAATCGCTTTATACATATATATAAATAATGTGTGTGTATGTAATATATGCAATATATTTATATTGCTATAGTTACCAGGGTATTATTATGCAGTAGCTGATGTGTTCTGACAATTTCTGTTGTTTTAATATTTTATTTATTTATGTTTAATTAAAGGGGTCCTATTATGCTTTTTCATTTTTTCAACTTTAGTTAGTCTGTAATGTTGCCGTTTGAGCATAAAAAAGATCTGCAAAGTTACAAAGCTCAAAGTCCACCTCAAAAGGAGATATTTTATTTAACAGAAATCACTTTTCAAAAACTACAACGAACGACTCGTTTGGACTACAACGCATATTTTCCTGGATTTGTGATATCACAAAGATCGACGAATGGGACGAGACCTGGTTGAGCTGCACTAAAGAAGGCAACGAGTGTTATCACTATGTCGGAGACACGCTAGCTTTCCCAAGGCAGACAATTTGATATTGACGCAATATTTACACTGAAGCTCGCAGGCGGCTATGGTAAGGGGCATGACATTTCCCGACCAGGCGCCGAGTGCTGCCAATCACAGCACACACACTGGCCCAGCCAACCGATCACAACACACACGCTGGCCCAGCTAACCGATCACAACACTGGCCCAGATAACCAATCACAGCACACGCTGGCCCAGATAACCAATCACAGCACACGCTGGCCCAGATAACCAGTCACAGCACATTTCGTATTTGAGAAGGCGGGCCTTCATTTGATACGGGAACTATTCGAGTCGTTTATGCCAGATTGGGGAGAGAGGTGTTGTAATAATGTGAAATATGTGAAAAATAATGTGTTTTTCGAAGAACCTAGTATAAGAGCCTGTTCTAGTACACCCCCAAAATAAAATCAAGACTTTGTAAAAGAGCATAATAGGACCCCTTTAATAAAAACTTTTTTTTTTATATAAATATTATTATTACAAATATTATTGGGTTGCAGCATCTTGGCCACTCAGTGTAAACAATTCAGACCTCATGGGTGGCAAACATATAGCAGTGGCACAATAAAATCTTAAAAAGAAGACAGATATTTTTATAAAGACAGATTTAAGAGGTAAAACTTCAGTTTTTACTCACCTCCAGCCGTCATGGGGCAGGTAGCTAAAGACCCCATCCACCACGCTAGCTACAAACTGGCCACCGGTGATAAACAGTGTGTTGATAGTGACCAGCTGACCTCGGAGTTCAGAAGGTGAAACCTCAGCAATGTAGACGGGCACGGTCATAGATGCAATCCCTAAAACACAGGACATAAAAAACTATAAGGCACACAAACTGAACTCAAATAGTTTTACTATATATAACCTACCTATCCCGAGCCCAACCGTAAGCCTCCCACACAGAAGAACCTCTTTGCTGTGTGCGACGCTCAGGATGATTCCTCCAGCAGAGAAGATGAAGCTAGCGAGCAGAATGCAGACTCTCCGGCCGAAGAGTCCGTTGAGATACCCTCCAGCCAGAGAGGAAACGGCCGCGGCACCAACAGTGACGGACACCAGCAGCTCCTGCCACAGAGAGCTGAGGTTCATCTCCCTCTTGAGCAGGAGCATGGCTCCAGACACCACTCCGGTGTCATAGCCAAACAGGAATCCACCCAGAGCCGAGAAAAAAGCCAGGGTGTAGACGAAACATGGAGAGCCGTGCTGGACTGAGCCGATCTGATGTGTGGACGTGGGCGAGTCATGCTCTTGGTTGTTGGCCTGGACATCATACGGTGTCTTTATCAAGCTCCTCTTGTCCTCAACAACTCTCCTGTCTCCTATCAGCTCCTCCATTCTCTGCAGCTTATGCACATTGTCTCCTAAATCACAAAGGAAACACCTTGAGATCATCACATGATCAACATTAACAAAGGCCATGTCACCCAACCCAACCCAACAAGTTGGCATTGCACACACCTCAAACCACAACAGTAAAACATCTACAAATCCTATTAATTCTTTAAAAGATCTTTATGAGGGATTTATTTCACTGTACAGCGAAATCAATCAGATTTTTGTGGAAAATGTCATACGAGCACTAGGTTATTGTGTGATTCGCGAGCGCAGTTGTTCTTTTGAATCGATTCTTGGTAATGACTCCGTTGAACCGATTTGCTTGTTTGTTAGTGAATCACGCGTTTTGCATTATCTGTACAACGTATTTTAAACATATCGTGGTGGAATACAGTGTATTTTAACACATAAACACACGATTAAATGCCACACGGCGGACGTTTGTAAACTGAGCACAACGAACCAGTGAATCACTTTTGGATTCGGTTCACTGCAGAGAACCATTCAAACGAACCGATTCGCTTAAATGAATCAGACTTTTCGGGTCCACGTCGCACAAACCCCAAATAAAAGCGGCTCTACGCTGAGCCAGCAAGCTAGCGAAATCGCTTCATTTAGCGTGTCCTACAGTGTAAAATGTTTCATCGTCTGTAAACGCAGCGATATCTCGAGCTTAGCTACAACAATACTACATCGAAATTAAAAAGTGTCGCGAAAAACATTTTCTACGTTTAGATGAATGCATTCGAAAGCTGTTTTTATTTTTATATTCATACTTTATAATATTGATTGCACAATAAAATCAATGCACAACTTCCAATATGCACACAATCTACTGTAGCAACAGCTAACGCGTTTTAAAAATGAACAATATACGTGTCTCGTTACCTATGCATGTGAATGGCTTAAAATAGGTAGCCTATATTTGCGTTCTCCTTTTGAAACCTACCAGCAAGACGCTTTTCTCTGTGCCTTTGCTTCGACAAGGCACTCAGTGCTGCTTCTCTTGCTTTCACTCTGTTGTGCTGGAACAGGAAGTTCGTGAATTCTTGCAGTCATATGATTCATAACGCAGCGCCGACCCAACACGACCGAGGTTTCTTCTTTCCACCGCCGAGAATGAAATGGGGAACTAGAGCCTAGTCATTTCAGTCTTTACTCAATCATAACTCATGTTCTGCTTTGCATAAACATGGCAGAAGCGCTCGTGCGCTGTGAAACGGATGATGACCTGCAGCAGCAGCAGCATTGTGTCCACACGGTCAGTGAGTATCAGTAGCTGGTTTAAACCTCTGTTTGATGTCAGATACAGAAGAGCATGGCTGATAAAGAGGAGCTAGGGATCAGGCTGAAGAAGCTGCTGGTGAGGTTGAACCTTCAAGAGGGGAAGCAGTTGGGCACCATGGTCCAGATCATACAGGACCTCCTGTTCCTGTCCCACACGGATCACTGTGGTGAGTTATGAGCACTGAAGGAGAAACTGTGTAGCCTGTGCTTTGTTAACATTTCTGATGCATGTCTTAAAGGGGTCATATGATGCTTTTTTAAAGATCATTATTTGGTGTATTTGGTGTAACAGAATATGTTGACATGCTTTAATGTTCAAAAAACACATTATTTTTCAAATACTGTACATTATTGTAGGTCTTCTATGCCCCGCCTCTCTCAAACTAAAGCCCCTCCTTCTGACAAGCGCAGTCTGCTCTGATTGGCCAGCTGACCCAGTGCATTGTGATTGGCCGAACACCGCAAGCACTCGTC